CTTCAGCAGGAACTGTAGTGATAGGAAAACAGGGAACAGCTTCAAATTGAAACACAGTGGGTTTAGATGAGATATGAGGAAGAAATTCTCTACTGTGAGGGTGGTGAGGAATAGGTTGCCCAGAGAAGCTGTGGATGCCCCAACCCTGGAAGTGTTCAGAGCCAGTTCGGAAGGGACATTGAGCAACCTAGTCTAGTGGGAGATGATCCTGCTCATGGCATGGAGGTTGGAACTAGATTATATGTAAGATGCCTTTCAACCCAAACCATTCTATGATTCCCTAAATTGATCACTAAGCTAAAAAAATACTGGTCACTAAGATACAGATAGTTACAACCAGACTACACTACTCATATGGAGATAAAATGAAGTTGATACGGTACAACAAGAAGTCTACCAAATACACATTCATGCAATTACAGTCAAGATCTCCAGTTAGGATGTGTCAGAAGAAAGCTTTCTAACTCCTTAGTTAACTCCCTTTTTTTGAGTGCAAAATGATAGTCATTAATGACACAGTGGTCTTTTCCAGAAGTATCCAACTCAGAATCCTCTGACCAAGATAAACAGCACACAGTTTAATTTACATCTTTATTGTTCATTACATGACATTAGCAATTTTTTATTGATCACTAGTCAAATTCTGTTCAACCAACAGAATTCTGAATTTCTTTATATACTTTTCCCCAAAGTTCATATCCAGATATTTGAACATACTCCTCAACCTCAAAAAACCACTTAATATTTACAAGGAAATTGTATTCTGAATTTTTAAGTTTTCTGCAGAAGCAGTGAAATATGAATCCATCAATTCTGGATATTTGACACCACAGTTTCCAGATATATATCTCTAAGTTTTCAGAGTTGTTACTAAATATTTTCTGTTTATTGAACTGTATTCCTTCAACGTTATCACAGAAATAAAATCCACAGACTGGCTCTTTGGCATCTATTCTGGACAGATGTTAAATATAAAGAAAAAAAAAAACAACAAAGGCAAATAGTCTCATTATTTAAATGAACATTTATGGAAGCAAGGACCAACAGCAGTTAAGAGTATGGTGGCCTGTACTTAGAATAATTGAAGGAAATTTTTCCAGGCTTGGATTAATGCCCCTGGAGAAGAAGCTACTGTATCTGTGGATGATTCTGGAGAATTTCTCCTTCATTGAAGCAGTTAAGGACAGTAAGTAGATGAACTGAGGCTCAAGGACAGCAATCCTGGATTCTTGTGTACCTTTCTCTTGACTGTAGAGTAGACATTTGTCTATGTCTTTTGATTAAACTCAGAGAAGAGTTTAAGTATATCTGGGGCTCTTACTGCAGAAATTCAGTAGAGCTTTTTCTAAGACCAAAGGGGTTACACTTGACAAGTTACACTCTTCCTCTTACTCAGCACCCAGATCACCTTTCAACACTAACAGATGTCATGCCATATTACCTGGCTAAACGAGTTGAAACTCTTAAATTCTTCCCAGAAAGACACAGCGGGTGATCACCCACTCTCTTAAGTTTTCTCAATATGCAGTACCGCAGACTTTTGTGCCTATCTACATGAAGCAGGACTTATACACATTTCAATGGTATTTGCTTACAGTTCACCTGTAAGTTTCCTTTTGAACCTATTTAAGCACAGATGTCTCTTAGGTTTTCTCCACAGCCTGACAGGAATAGGCATCTGACTGAAAGCCTTTTAGGCTTCAGTCTGATTAATCAGAAAAGACCTGCCAAAGTGAAACATTTTGAAGAACAGGTATAGATCTGTTCTTGAGGCCTCCTGTATCCCAGTAATCTATAATCTCAGCTTTTTTACTGTCCTCCTTGCTCCTTGATATGCACACAAAAGTTGTCAGGATTCGCTTTCAGCTCTTACTAGAGAAAAGATTTTTACAATCTACTTCAACTACATGTTTGACTATGAGAATAGTCCTTAAATTGTACCTCTGGAAAAATTGCCATTCATTTGGAAGGATGCCAGCTTCAAACATCACTTGGATACTTGAGCTAGGCTGGCAGTCTGCTCTTTATTTACCAGGTAGAGGAAGAAAAGGTTATTACATGTGCTTTGAATTCTTTGTTACATATTAAATTGTTCCTGGGTAGTATCCATGATCTATAAAGCACTAAGTAGTTTGGTCACAGCTATCTCTGGCACCATCTGTTTGACCACTTGTAAAAGTAACAGACTGCACAGAAGCAGAAAAAGAGGTATGACTAGCATGAGTTTGGGAAAAATTATATCTAGATTCAAAATTAAACCAGATATTCAAAATTTCATCACAGTGAGTCAGGCATGCTGCAGTTATCCCCTGAAGCCTCACAGGCTGTTTTTCCCTTGCCTCTGGTAGACATGACTGTCTGCTTCTTCCATAACTAAAACTTTTGCAGATAGTCTCATTAAAATAAAAATTTCCAGCAAAGAAGAGAAGATTTAGCTCCTGAGTCTGCCCAGCTGATTTTCTACCCTTGAAAATGAGGAACAGAGGTTTGGGCCATATTCTAATATATGATTCCCTATTTATCTGCTTTATTTTTCTGCACTGAATTATTTGTGACAACTGTGATAACTTTCATTCAAATTGTTAAAAAATCTGTAAAGTTATGTAAATGAAAAAATGATTCTTGAGGCATAGAGAACTAAAACTGGTGATTCCCAGTTATTATGTTTTGATAATAAGCTACTAATACATTTAATATATTCTATATTAATAATTACAATTAATCCTATAAAAGCATTTCCAAGACATCTTTGATGTGGTCTTTTTTCCTTGAAATCATCATGATTACTATTACATTCCAAAAAAAATTTAACCAATGAGTTGTATATCTGACTCATGCTTGATAGTACCTAATAGCTATAACTATAAAGGAAAAGCCCATTTTCCATTTTAAGTACTGGACTTAATTAACTTCTTTACATTACTAGGAACTTTCCCAACAGTCCAAGAATTATTAAAAGTTAATGAGACTGTTTCAGGAAGCTTCCTAACCAATAAAGGATTCTTTTGAACAAATTAATAATTTCTACAATTATACCATAAGTATTGAATATAAAAGCTTTGGATAAAAACAATACCAACAAAAGAAGAACAGAAAAAATCCCTGTTAATAGTTAGAATATAATTTGTAGTTTTTAAAAAGATAACTTTTATCTGTGTCATTCTACTGCTCCTTATTTCAATTTCTCATACATTTTTGTACATTCTTTTCATTTCCAAAATGATTGAGAAACTAAACAAAACTTGAGACCAACCTTAAGATGTGTTGACAGACTATTGTACACACAAGAAAAAAAATTAAGCCCTTCTCTGGCATTTCTCCATTGGATGACTGAGTTATTTTCTTCCCATAGGCTAATTGGAAACCTTTGTTTGATGATCTAAATCCCAAGTATGTGCCTTAATCAGTTCTGAAATAGTAATTTTTTTAATTTCAAGGAATTATAAAATGGGCATATATCTCCTATGTTCTTATTAATCCAACAGTACTTTAACTTATGGTAAAACCACTGGCATTAAATAGTATCTGATATGAAACCGAAGACATAAAGAAACTCAATTTGAATGGTTGGAAATATAAATTAGTATAAAATCAGTTATCCTGGACTTGTATTGCTCCTCCAGATTAGTTCAGAAGATACATGTTGGAGCTCCCCACGATTCCAAATCATATCCTTAATGCGCAAAGGAAATGCGCCAAATTCCCTCCTCTCTCAGATGTTCTCAAAGGTACCTGCTTTAGTCATAATGCATAAGAGCTCCTTCAGACTTCTGAGGAATAAACACATCTTTTAAAACTTTTCTCATGATTTTTGCATGTGGCTGTAAACACTGCTATTATGAAAAAAGGGTGGTGGAAGGGAAGAAGAGGAAGCAATCAATATTTATTAGTAGTGTTGAGCAAGAATTGCTAAATTATACTACCATGAGATGATGTCTGCAATGTTTTAGTGGGTTGAAATGCTTCCGGGAACAAGAGTTAATAGCATCAGTTATAGTTGTGAAGGCAAGAGCAATCCTGACCATTGCTTCAGTAATTTAGAAGGAGTAACAGATCCCCTCAAGTGCACTGCTGTTCATTAATAATAATGCTCATACAGCAGATGATTTCTGTTTAAAGAATGAGTCTTTGTAACTTGGTCAGCAGGATTATGTTTAAAGCGATCTCCTGAAAACAAAGGGAGTGCAAGCTTCTCTCTCACACATTGTTTGAAAAGATTTGCCATCTTACTACTACTCTCACGAGATCATCCAAATGCAATCATCTCCAGTTTTATCTCAGCCTCAGCCTAAGAACAAAATTGCATACTATAAACTGCAGAAACGACTACAACATGAATCACCATTTCTGCAAAAAAACTCTCCCAGCAAGCACCTCATCCTGGCTGCAAATGGCCCTTGACAAATCCCTGCGGCTGCATTTGTGGTCTCTGCTGCTGAGACCATTCCCTGGAGGCGCAGCTCAGGCTGAGAGGATGCAGCAGGCTTGGTGAGTTGTGCTTTCGAGTGTGTTGCCTCCAAGGGATGGGGTCAGCAGTTTGTGTCCTCTGCACGCTGAGGGACTGACTCCTCAAGCAACTTTTAGCAAGCAGTTGCAGAATGTCAAAAGTGAGTCTTAAGAGAGCACCAACACTAACTTGAAAGAGCTTAACAGCAAAAATCTTCTCTAAATTCCCCTTCAGATTTCGTTTTCAGAAACAACTGTATTAAGGAGTGGATGATTAGCTGACCAGGAGGGTTTTTCAAACAGCTGCTGGTTGTTAAAGATCAGTAATTTCTATAAATATGTGGACTGTTGTCAAGAAAAATTCTTGGAAATACTTCACAGAACTCAAGATTCAGAACATAGTATTTTAAAAAGCTAACAAAAACTTATTAAGTACTTTGCTGCATCTTCTAAGCAGTTCATTGTACATATTTAAAACATCCTGAAACAAATGCAACTGATACACAAGTTTGAAACTGTATACATAATTATAATGAAAATTGTTTGCAACCTACCTTGGAATTGTGTAAATTTGATGGTTCCCATCCTCTCTCCATTTCTGAAAACAACTTGACCCTAAATAAAATAAACAAATACCTTAAAAGTTTTATAAATCTCTCACAATATAGTTTCATTAACACTGTAATTTTCTATTAACTATTAAAATTACCAAAACAATATTTAAACTCTGAACATAGTAGATAGTAGATTCAACCATGGACAAAATAACTCAATTAACACCTCCTTAAAGCTTTCTTCAAATGGCCTTAGAAAGTTGACTGGTGTTACCACCCATTTTTCATGGATGTAAATGGAAGTACAATAAAGCCAGTAACTTATTGAATCTCAGATGATGAGAGATATGCAAACAAACAATTTTCACGGTTTGACTGTTTTTATCAAGGATATGTGAATCTATCCAAGATCATGCAAGAAAATCATTCTCCATTTTATTCATCATACAGTTCTCCAAAGATAATTATCATATCTTATATACTTACCCTACTAGATTAGGGATACCAGTGGCTCTTGTGGCTTCATTTTGTACTATGCCAACACGTGTGTCCTAGTATTCATTTTAAATGTAATGTCTTTAAGTCAGTACTACTGTTTGTGGTGCTACAAATTGTTATTCTCATTATAATGGTCATGCAAGGCTTAAGCCTCCTCACATATCCCTAGGAAATTACTCCCATCTTTCATCACATCTTTCTGGAGTAAATTAAGAAAAGATCTTGTTAAATTTCCTCCTTACTTCAGCTGTTTCATAATTAAGTATGAAAGAAGAGGGTTTCATTCATTTATGCTAAGAAGTATTTTTAATATTTTGAACCTGTAGTAGAGGTCCGAGTGTTGTCAAGATGGATTGCTGTTCTACTGCATCCCTGGTTTGGTTTATTAACATCATCGCCATTAATCTTTGTTTTGGCAGACATGAGGGTAAAAAAACCCAAATGGTAAACATGTAAAGCTACAGTATATTTCTCTGTGCAAGCCTGCCCTTTCTTGAATAATCTGTTCTGGTCACTGAAGAGATGCACTGAAGGCCTCTGAATTACCGAAATCAGCTCCCTGCAGGAACTGATTGGAGCAACAACAGTTTGGTAGGACAGCACACATATCTCCCATTTCCTGCAAGCCACAGAACACCATTTCCCTTTGATAAATAGAAGCCAACACTCTTAAATAAGTGTAAGCTACCTTGTGCTAAGCCTTAAAAGTCAAAAGCCCTGATCCATGTCTAAAAGGGACTGAGAGAAATGAACACTGGTAATGGGAGGGACTCTGGTGACAGTAGCCAAAGGACACAGTAACCACACCTGCTGAAATCCAGCTGAGATAAGTCTCATCTAGTGGCTGCTAAGGCAGCTCCAGAAGAGAATATAAAACATTAGCAGGCAGATTTATGCATATATTTTATCAGCCTTCATCCAGATCTCCTTTAGTTAGGAGAAATACTTTTTAATATCCCTTCATTGGTTTGAATGTAATGATAACATATTTGGCTAATTGGCTTAAGTAAAAAGTAGTAGAAAATGTTAAAGAAAAGACTTGTAAAGATGCTATGCAAGTATCACCTATTGCAGACATATATTTATGATCAATCCAGTCTTAACTTTGGTTCTGTGACCTGTGTTGGAGAATGCTGTAGTTAAATTTTTCAATATGTGGAAAGATTATTTTTTATTTGATTTTAAATTTACTGCCTTCTACTTTAACTCTGTCTCCTCTTATTCATTTATTACAAGCTAACAGGACTGTAGGTAAGAGTCTACTAGAGAGCTCTTTATAGACACACATACAGGAAGCATCACTGTCATCATCTATGGTGAGAGGCCTCTACAATTTTCTTCCATTGTTGATAGTATAGTGTTGTATACAGACTCAAGAAATTTTCTAGATTCCAAGTGCAACTGCTTGAAATATTATTGCTTCCTGTAAATCACCCACATTTTCATCATTAAGTAGTACAGACATACACCATATGCGTCTACTGACTAGAGATAAATACATACACTCTTGTTGGCATGTTCTGAAACTATCAACAGAATGTAAATCAAGTTTCAATAAATGCAAAATTTGGGATTAAAAATATAAACAGGATTTTATGGCTTATACTGATCTAAGCAGCAGATAAATAAAGATATGGATGACGATGATGAAAGTGTCATGGAACAAATTATGAAAAAATGTCCTAATTATCTGCAAAATTATTCAATCAGCAGTTTACTTTCATTAAAGATTACTGAAAAATCCTGAAAAGTCAAATGGGTTATTATAAGGAATAACAATTTCTAAATACTATTTTATGAGATGACATTGTCATGACTATTGTTTACAAACTACAGAGTTTGTACGTAACACATACGGATACTAACAGGAAAAGAAAGTGGATAAATTAAAATAGGCTACCTTTTCTGTGTGTAATCGAATTACTAAATCTGTTTTCGAAGGTCAAATCAATAAAAATCCATAACAGCAATAATTTTCAAAGCAGGATTCTCTACTGAAATCTCTGAGGTTGACAGTACGTACTTATTACCCAGGCACCAAAAGTGGACCCACAGCTGCAGTTACCATTTCGTTCTTTCCTCCTCAGGAACAGGCTGCTTCATAACAACATGTGACAATTAGCTACTGTGCCTCAAGTACCTTCAACCCCTAAGGTTCTAAAGGAGAGCTGAGGAAATCTTGAGGGTTTCCTTTAGGAAAGAAAACATTCTTAGATGTTTATTGGGGTTTTAGGTAGTCCCAACAGACACAGATATGGTGTTGCTGCTGCAGTATTTGATTCTGCCAATGTGGCAGAAAGGAGTGCTCCTCATGAACACTGAGAAACTCTATAAATAGCAATACCTTCATTTCTTCAAACAGGAATAGGAGGAAAATTAATGATAGTCATCCCTTGCTCTATGCTTCCCCTGCTATTTAATGAAAAATAGAAGAATTTGAGGTAAGTGATATAAATACATAATAAAATGTTGTAGAATTTAATTTAATAAACTACAGCAACACTAGACTAAATAAGTCAACCAGTGTTTCAGAAATCTGTTTTCTAGAAATTATTGTGCTTATTTATGGCATGGGAAGTGAGTTATAATTTGATGATGTTCTCATCAAGCCATTTCATTGCCACTGAGGTAACCTACCATAAGATTTAGCTAGAGAATTAACTTCTTTAGACTTAAGATTCATAAATTACTAAAAGCGTTTTTCCTTTATTTAAAGTAGCAGGTGTTTGAATAATAGATATTACTAATACACACATTAAGCTCTGACATTACAAAAGCTAGTCTTAGTACTATTTTGTCCTCCAGCACATGTGCCAGTATAGACTGCAGCCATCACAAAACCTAGATCTTATGAAATCCACATGAATATAACAACAGACAAAACCCTCTTTTACATTCCATTGTGTTTTAGTGATATTATATAGGCATATTTAGATACTTACGAGCAAAAAGATCAGTGGTTGTACAGATGAGAAGTACCATATTAAAGAAAATAATGGAAGTAATGTTAATACTAACTTCTTTAGAATATGATCATCAGATTAAAAAAAAATATTTCCCAAACAAGTAAATATTTTATTTCGAGAGATGTAAAATAAGAACTCTGTCCTGAACTGGCATTTAAATGAACTGCAAAAGTGAATAACTTGCACTTAGACCAAACCACACGTCTTTAAGTCAGTTAATAGTTAATCAGCAAAATTTTCCTCTTCCGTTACACACAGATCATCCCCAGGGAGACCGACAGAAACCACACTGGTATCTTAGTGCCTATTTTATTTTCTTCAATCTACCATCTACAATTTTTTTCTTTTTTTACTAGTTGTAAAAGTCAATGCCAGCGTAAACACCAGTTCTATAACAGATCTGCCCAACTTTTAGCTGTGGACAGGCATGTTTACATCAGCAATGACCCTCGAAAAGTTGATGGGAAGGATATAGAAGGTATGTGGCTTGGAGTTCAATAGACAGCAATGTGAACAGAGGGTAGAAGAGGAGCTACACGAGCTCATTCTGGCACAGTGTGGCACCCTGGTGTGTACAACCACCGCTGCACACAGTGTCCTAGTTTTTTTGGCCCAGATATATCCCTGTATTTGGGATTCACTGCAGCTGTGTAACTTATCATGCAGCCTTATGCAGGTGTACTTAATTCAGTTTGGCTAAATCTACAGTCACCCCACAAGCATAAACAATTCTAGCCTCACATTACAAGTTAGGTAGCTTGGACAAGAGAAATATAGAAGCTTATGTTGTAGCTTTTTGGTTTGGTTAGTTTGTTGTTTAGGTATTTTTTATACATCTCTGAGTCCAGCTGTTTTTCCTCCCCAAAAGGTACAGTTCTTGAATGTCCTTTACAAATTACGAAAACCAGAACCAAGCATTTCAGTAGTGTCAATCTCCCAATTGCCACATGCAAGGACATCATCTCCCTGGTTCTTCTGAGTAACATCATCTTCTTTGTGCTCCATTTTACAAGCCTAACATCAATTTATGTACTTAGTTATACAGAATAACTCTTTCATCTCCTTAATAGAAAGACAGTCTCAACCCTCCCTGGATGTACAATATTCACTTTTTATCTTGAATTGATATTCCTTAAGTAATTAGTCCTTTATTTGTGGTCAGAATAACAAATTCACATCATCTATTCACAATTACAAATTATTAGCTGACATCAGCTTTATTTCAGACACATGGGACTTCCCCTGTCTTATAGCAGTTATTTGCCTACACTTGGAAGCAGCTGTTTATTATACTTCTATATTTTTTTCATGGTGGATAAAATGTAGATATCTTTGCTATATTGTGAACATGTCATTAAGCTCTTTTTGAGCTATAGAATGCTGGCATTTACTAGAACTTTCTTTGTATTATCTCTGACAGTATTATTATTCAGCTCTGGACATAGGCCCATGCCAAAGTTAGAATTCTTTCATTCTTCATATGCTGAAATCCACAGCCAACACATTTTTTTACTGATGTCTTTAGTTTCCTTCATCTTTTTCAAGCAAACCAAAGTTCAGAAATTTCTTAACTGCTCTCTCAGTCAGGGCCAGGTCT